GGAACGTCCAATCCTCTATTAAACTCGCATTAGCGAAAAATATAAAAAAAATATTCTCAATAAAATAAAATGATCAAAATACCCTTGAAAGTGTCAACGGGTATTTTGGTCATTATATTTTATAAAAAAATAATATTTTTTATAGGTGCACCCCAATGAGAAGATAGCACGTACCAAATTTCATATTCATACAATTTTTATAAGAAAAATAAAAATAAAAATATTTGAGACGTCGGATCTAAGATCAAATGGTGAGTGGCTCTCTTGATCAAAATTGGACGGCTGAATGGTTGGGGGAGGATAGTTCTTCTATGCTGTAGGGGAAGTATATAAACCTTTCCTATATTATATTATGTTATATATATTATACGTAATATAAAATACATATATATAATATATATTTATGTAATATAATATATTTTATTATATATTAATAAAATAAATATAAAATATACTATATTATAAAAAAAAACGTTTATATAGAACCGAGGCTCTAAACAATCAAATTAGAGCCTACCTCAAAATTTTCACTCTAAGAGGTTGTTTTGATGCCTAAATATCTTCAATTTGATCATCTCAACATCAAGATGCATGGACATGAGAAGAAAAAAAAAAAGGATTTCAAGTTTTGGAAATAGTGCATCTTGTAACTCATTTTTGGCCCGTCAATTTTTAAGATTTTCAAATTATCATAGATCTATTCGATCCACACTATTTTTGAAGCTTTAGATTTTATAATTAAATATGAAAATATATTTTAAGAAAATTATCGCAAATATACCTTAATTTAATGTTAATTGGAAAAAAACCCAAACTTATGTTTATCTCGTCTATACTATTTTTCTTCATTTTTTGTTTTTTTTTTACTAAAATGACCTTCACGGTAGTCTTACTACTGTAACACATATCATTTTATACGGTATTTGAAATACCGTAGTGACTTCAAATAATATTACGGTACTTTAAGTACCGTAAAACTCTGGCCATACCGTGAAGCTAATTACAATACTTTAAGTACTGTAAAAACTAAAACCCATTATATGACATTTTAAGTACCGTAAAAACTAACACATCTTATCCGGCACTTAAAAGGCCATAAATCATTTTCTCATCCTGTTTATATTTTTCTCTTTCATCTCTAATTATCTATTATTTCCCTCTTTAGTTCTTTTTAATATATATCTCTTCTTTCTCTCTCTAATTCTTTTTTATCTCTTCTTTCTCTCTCTAATTCTTTTTTATCTCTTCTTTCTCTCTCTAATTCTTTTTTATCTTTTCTTTCTCTTCTACAATCTCATCATCGTTTCCTTAGATACATCATGTCCTCTGCTTTGCATAGCCGAAGTCAATGTTTGATTACTCTCTAAGAAAATGATGATGAGATTGTAGAGAGAGAAAGAAGAGATAAAAAACAAATTAGAGAGAGAATAAATAAATATTAAAAAGAATTAAAGAGATAAAAAATAGATAAACATAAAAAGAATTAGAGATGAAAGAGATAAACATAATGAGAAAAGTGTTTACGGCATTTTAAATGTCGTGTAACATGGGTTAATATTTACGGTATACCGTATAAGGGTTAGTGTAAGTTTACGGTACTTAAATTACCGTATAAAATGCGCTCAGTATTACAGTACTAAAAGTACCGTATAAAATTTCTTAAGTATTGTCGTACTTAGAGTACCGTATAACATGCACTAACTATTACGGTAATACAACTACCGTGGAGGTCATTTTGGTAAAAGAAAAATTGAAAATTAGGAAAAAAGGGTGTAGACGAGATAAACAAATATTTGGGGCTTTTTTCTAATTAAACTATTTACAATAATTTCCCTATATTTTAAGGCTATCACGAAGATTTTCAATATTGAGATCACATTTCTCGACACTATTTGAAGGTGCGCTTTACTTTGATCGTTTAGAGCCTCGGCTCTATACAAACCGCACCCATTATATATTAGGAAAAAAGTATGTAGTATATATCATATACTTATATTTAAATTATTACCATATATTTGTTCGGGTGCAGTTAGCATACAGGTGCATCCGTAGCTGTAGAGGTAAGGTGGACCTTCAAGTTTTATCATCGTATATAATTTCGATGTAAAATTTTCTTAGGATTATCTCAAAGTCTATTTTTATATCTAATTATAAAATTTCAAATTTCAAATTTAATTAAAATCAAGTAGATCTATAAACATATGAAAATCTTGAAAATGGACGGTGTAGATAATATGTTGTAAAATACACTATTTTTTAGACTTAAAATATTTTTATTTTTCATGGTCATACATCTCGATGTCGAGATGATCAATCAAATGGTTTTCAACATTAAAACTACCTTTTCCGATGGATTTTTGAGGTGCATCTGTAGTTCTACATTATAAGGTTGCATGCTTATATAAATTTTTTCCTATTTGTTTGATGCTATTATATATAATATATAGTATATA